AAGTGGTAGAGTGCTAGCCTTGAGCTGAAGAGCTGAGGGACAGCGTTCAGGCCCCACGGCCGGACCCCCCCCAAAAAAAAAAATAATTCCAGGAGACTGGCTCAGGCCTGCAATCCTCGCTGACACGAGGATAGTGGTTTAAACCAGCCCAGTCAGGAATGTCTAAGAGACTTGATCTCCAATTAACCCCTCCCCCGAAAAAAAGAAGCCGGAAGTGTAGCTGGGGCTCCGGTGGTAGAAAGCTGGCCCTGACCAAAAGGGTCAGGGACGGGGCGCCCAGGCCCTGAATTCAAGGCCCAGGACCTGCACGGCCCCCACTCCCCAACCCCCCCCCCGCCCAAGGTGAACTTAAGAACGTTTATGGTCATTTTAGATTTTAGCAAAGGCCCTTGCAAGGTATAATATTTTTACCACGTTTCGGAAGGGGTTAGTTAACGGAAGAAAGAACTGGCCCGCAGAAGGCACTGACACCTCTAAGGAGTTACTATGACAGGTCTTGCTGGTGACAGCAGAGCAGGGTCGCAGGCCGCCCTGAAGCTGAGGTACGTAACTCGCTGGGTAAGGCGGCCTGAGGCACCGCGGGGTGAGGGGGTGTCCCACGCCAGACACACCCGGGGACCAGGGACACGCTAGTGTGGGCACGCTGGCTAGCAGGAGCAGGGCCAGGAGAAACGAAAAGGTAAACTTCCAGAAGGCTCTTTACCAGAGAGCCCTGGCGAGGCGCAAGCCCGCTGGCTGCCGACCTCCGCCATCCGTGGGCAGACGTGACCGGCTTCCCGCCGACCTCCGGGACCTCTGAACCCGTTTCCAAGCAGCGACTCCAAGGAAGGCCGGCAATCCTCGGGCCCTCCGCGACTCGCAGTCGCCGCGCACACACGTCACTCGCGCCGCAGCCAATCGGCGCGCGGCAGGTCACCTCTCCGCCCAGGTCTCCCAGCCCCTCCTGCGCCGGGCCCAGGTCCGAAGCGCCCGCCGGCGGCGGCTTCCGCGCTGGCGCAGGCGCAGTAGCCCATTCGAGGAGCCGCTGAGTGGAGTAAGAGTGGATCTGCCGCCGCCGGCCCCAGGATGGTACTGGAGAGCGTGGCCCGCATCGTGAAGGTACAGCTCCCCGCCTATCTTAAGCAGCTCCCAGTCCCGGAGAGCATTACGGGGTTCGCCCGGCTCACAGGTAACCCCACACTCTCTAGTTCCCATCTTTGCACGCCCCGCGTAGAGGGGGAGGTGCAATAAATAATTAAATAAACCTTGGGGCAAGGGGCGGAGCGAGCCGCTAGCGAGCGGCACGTGACCGTGCGTGCGCCTGCGCAGTCGCCCGGGAGGCGTCCGTGGCGCGCAGCCGCTTTGCGCGGGGGGGGATGCCCACGTCCCGTGGCGGGAGACCGGGATTTTACAGAGCAGGTGCAGCGTGTAGCGGACCCAGCTGGTTCCTCTCCTGCCTTGTTCGCCGCTCTGGGCGATTGAGTCCTCATCATCTTAACTGGATCGTCAGCCTGAGTGGGAGAACATCCGACCTGCACGGAACGCGTGGGTTTCGTTTGGGAACCGAGTTAGAAGTCACCTCCATTTCCCCCCAGGACTGACCTGCCCTGAGGTCATTCGAGGTCACCTCCTCCCACCACGACCCCGGGAGCAGTCCGATTGCTGGAAAGATAGCCAGAAAGCAGTCCAGTGCTGGTCTCCTGGGTCGAAGCTTAGAAATAAAACTTAAATGAAAAAAAATAAACATATATTAATATTGTATATATAAGGCCTCTGGCCCGTGCCAGAAAAGGAATAGCAACGCAGGATTTCACATCTTAATAAGAAATCCTCCCCAATGCAGCCCCTGTTTGACCTAAGGAGGTATGTGCAAACCATACACCCAGATCCTATTCACAGGATGCTGGGGGAAAAAATCAGCAGATACTGAGCTCTGTGTCCTAAATATCACTGACCACAAACGCGAATTAGACAATACTTCAGGTAAATAGGGTTGCTTAACCTGGTGCATTCTAGCGATTCTAGCTGACTTTAAAATGTGATGGAAGAAAGTAAAGTTTATCAAAAGACTAAAAATAGTCGATCAAAAGACAGAATTAGGACCAGATTGGTAAGAGCTATTTAGAGATGGCTATCACACTCCAAGGAAGATTAAAAACAAAACAACTTTCCTGGAACACTTAAGTGTTGTGCCTGCCATAATAGCCCTTCTCAGAGATTACAAACAAAACCAGACTGTGAGGGTGAATACATTTACATGAGGTAAACTGGGTAAACTAAACTCTAATAAATCAAGCAATTTTTATGATATCAACTGCTTTGTTAAGTGGATTGTGAGATTTTTAACATCTTTAGATGTTGGGTTTAGTGGAAAATATGTAATTGAATAATAAACACTAAAAAGAAATGTTTAAATCTTACCAGCGACCTCAAGTGAAACATTGTTTCAAACCATTCCCCAGTAGCTGAAAAATTGGGATTTCTTTACAGCCATGTGTCAGTTGTCATTTTTTTCTACCTTAGGGTGATATGTTCTTGAATGTAGTCACTAAATTGGTAATCCAATGTAAAAAGAGTATAATTTTCTGCCACTTATTCACTTTTGCTGGTTATCTTAATTTGAATGACTTTTGAACAGCCAAGAAAGGAAACTGGCTCCTTAACTGCAGTCCAGACAAACTGAATTACATGCCACGATTCTGATGGGGGCAACGTTTAAGCTAGTTTCAGTTTTTTTTAAAGGGAATTTCATTGAAGCAGAATAGAAAGTTTAGCTAGGAGATTTTAGAAATGTGGGGGGATTTTTTTTAAGATCCCTGCTGTCAACAAGTATTTAATTCCTATCTATGGCATTAAGGAAATGGTACCAAACTTTCTTCACTCTTAGATTAATAGTCTACAGTAAGTACCATTCAAAAATTGTTAAGTATTTAACAATATGACAGTATGTCTTCAGTTCAGTTCTCATTGTATTGCATACTTGAGACATATGAACCTACTTGTAATGCCATTTTCATGGAAAAAAATAGTTTTGAATTGGACAGTAAAATAGTTGCAGGGCGTTTTTTTTTTTTTAATTTAACTTTCTACTTTAGGCAAAAAAACTTGAATACCTTTTTTCTAGTCTTGAGTCTCCAGAATAGATGGTGAGAACTAAGAACATTTGGCTTTTTTGAATGAGCTACTTATACAATTCATCTGTAGGCTTTAGTTGAAGTAAAAAGCAGAAAGACAACTTCTCAGCAGTTAATATAAGAGTCCAGGAGACAAAATAGTATTCACATAGTCTTTGAAAGTTAAATGCAAAGTTACAATTCACATTGTTGCCTATTTTTCTTTCCCTATTTATAACTAAGGGTTTGTGGTTTATTTGTATTTTGTTAGGCAAGTGTCCCATGATCACTCTGCATTGTTGGAAAACATAAATAGTACGTTAATTATTATACAGGAGATCAAAATACAGACAAGATTCTTCTCAAAAACAAACTCATGTTATATTCAAGTAGCTCTTTGGAAGTATATATTCGGGCCTCTAAAGAAACATTTTTCTTATTGTTATATAAACTTTAAATTAGCACTGAACCAAAAAAAATCTTTCAGAAGTTGGAAAATTTTATTTTGAGATTTATAAATTAGCTATGAAATTTTACCCACTCAGATTAGTTTGGTTTTTGAAACTTACACGGTTTTCTTTACTCTTAAAGACAAATCAGTATGAGACTTAGGTAGTAAGTTTCCTAGGATAACCCAAACATGTCAGAACCTACAACTGTAAGTTCATTTGTTTTGTTTTTCCAGAGGGGCCAGTTCTGGACTGGGAATTTAGAAATGAAACAGTTAAAAACATAAACCCACAAACATACTATACAAGTGTGTTCATGACAACCTAATTTGTAATTGTTCCTGTACTTGAAGCAATCCAAGTATCCACCAACAGGAAAATAGGTAAATAAACCATGGTTTATTAATAAGTTAAGTAGAAAAACTGCTTAGCAAAAAAAAAAAAAAAAAGGAACAAATTATTGGCCCACTAGATGAAACTCAACAACTTTTATGTTGCTTAAAAGAAATTGGATATTGAAAGTAGTAGTGGGAAATAGTAGTATGGGAAAGAACTTACTGGAGTAATGGAAGGATTTTTATATACTTTGATATGAATATTTCTACACATTTTTACAGGAGACTACAGAGTATATTTCCCAAAATTCAAGCTAACTACTAAAGATCTGTTTACTTTAAGTTATTTCTCAATTTTTTTAAAAGAAAGACTAAAAGGTGAGTTTTCTTATTAGGAAACAAAACATTTCAAAGAAAACATTGCATATATTTATTTTTTGCCTGTCATGGGGTTTGAGCTCAGGGCCAGGTTGCTGTCCTTGAGCTTCTCTGTGCTCAATGCAAGTGTGCTACCACTTGAGCCACGGTGCTGCTTCCAGCTTTTTATGCATATTTTATTGGGGATAGGAGTCTCACAGACTTTTCTGCCCTGGCTGGCTTTGAACTGTGGTTCTCAGATCTCAGCCACCTGAGTAGCTTGGATCAGCGGTGTGAGCCTCTGGTACTTGCAAAAGTTGCATTTATTAACATGTAAGTTTACAAAAGACAAGAACTTTTGAAATTCTTTTCTAGGAGATTTGAGGATAATATTTACATAGTTACTATTAAGTTATAAATATTTTCTCTTCTAGCTGGTTCAATTATATTTAAAATTGAGTGTATAGATTATATTAGCCCTGTGGAGAACAGTTTGAGTCTCATTTAAACCTTTCCTTCCATATAACTATTTTGCAATTAAAATTTTCTTAAGTCATCAAGTATTTGTTGAGCACTTATGACATGCCAGGTAAAGTTCTAGGTGCTAGGATACTGTTCTATTAGAGTGAAAAAGTATTTTATTGGTCTTTTAATTCTGATATAATTGATATTCAACTTTAAGTCATAATAGTGAAGTCATCATAGTATGTTATAATATTTAAAAGAGATACTACCTAAAAACTACAACAACAATAAATACTTTTATTTCTATCTTTTCTATACTTAAGAAATGGAAACTCATTTCCGCTTTATGATACATAAGAAATATAAAATGAACAGCAACCAATTTGTCACTTTTTATGGATTTATAGATGATCTTTATGTATTTATTATGTATGTAGGTCCTGGGGCTTGAACTTAGGCCCAGGGGGCCACTGTCCTTGAACTTTTGTGCTCAAAGCTAGTGCTCTGCCACTTTTAGCCACAATACCATTTCCGCTTTTTATTAGTTAATTGAAAATGAGAGCCTCATGAACTTTCTTGCCTGGGCTGGCTTTGAGCTATGATCCTCACACCTCAGCCCCCAGATACCTAGGATTGCAAATGTGAGCCACCAACACCCGGCTGCCTGTTATAAATTTGAAAAAACAAAACAAAAAAATACTTTTCTTTCTTATTATTATTAAGATACATTTGTGTCTCTGTTTACTTTAAAATAATTTTTTTAAATAGCTTGGTACCAGTAACTCATGCTTGTAATCCTAGCTACCCAAGAAGCTAAGATCTAGAGGGTCACAGCAGAAAAGTCCCTAAGACTCCCAGCTCCAAAAAAACTAGCAAAATGCAGGGCTGAAAGTGTGGCTCAAGCAGTGGAGCATCAACTAAGTGAGAAAGCTCAAGAAGCCCAAGGTTCTGTGGTAGAAAAAAAATATGAATATGTTTATATATCATGCTGTATAAACACATATCAAGAATAAGGAGTCATAGATACCTGTCACTGTATATGAACATTGACTATAGCTGGGCGCTGGTGACTCACGCCTGTAATCCTAGCTACTTAGGAGGCTGAGATCTGAGGATCGCAGTTCAAAGCCAACCCAGGAAGGAAAATTCGTGAGACTCTTACCTCCAATAAACGACTAGAAAACCGGAAGTTGCTCTGTGGCTCAAGCGTTAGAGCGCTTGCCTTGAGCTGAAGAGCGCAAGGACAGCACCCAGGTCCAGAGTTCCAGCCCGATGGGTGACAAAAATAATAATTAAAATAAAAAGAACATTGACTATTCCTCATCTTACCCTAATTATTTCTCCTTCCTTTAGTGACTGCTGCTTTGGTTGCAGCTGGAATTATTTTCTTCAGGACTATTCCATTTTATGTCTAGTAGGTTGTGTTCTCTCACCATCTCGCTGCTCTTCCTCACGACACTCTTCTAAATCATTTTCCATAATAGTTTGACTTCATAAATGGTCAGTTCGGTAGCTGAATATTTAAATATTTCAATAATTGTCTGTTTATAATTATGGTGGTGGTAATTCCTGTTTAAAAAAAATAGACATAAATATACTTACCAGGTACAATGAGATAGCATATTTGAAGTAGGACTTGTTCTGAAAAGTTAGATTTTTTTAGTTTCACAAATTTCAAGATAGCCTATAAGGTGAAATCACCTGGTCCTATTAGAGCTGATTTTACTGTGTAATCGACTTGTACTTTTATGGATAACTAAAATGAATGTGAGCATAACAGGTAAAGAATAACCCAGAGATGAAGCTACACATACTATTTTCTGTGTGTGTGTGTGTTTTTAACAAGAACTCTGCAGACTCCAACCGGTACGTCCACATTTAGTTTCAGAATGGCTTCGCTTGCTGCCTTTCCTGGGTGTACTCGCACTCCTCGGCTACCTTGCAGTTCGTCCCTTCCTCCAGAAGAAGAAACAGCAGAAGGATAGTTTGATTAATCTTAAAATACAGAAGGAAAATCCCAAAGTGGTGAATGAAATAAACATTGAAGATCTGTGTCTTGCGAAAGCAGCTTATTGTAGGTGTTGGCGTTCTAAGACGGTAAGATGGATGGTAAAATTGTGTGGAATCATTAACACCAAGAGTTCATTTTGATTCTGTTTTAATCCTAATTAGTCACTCACAGAATCATCCAAAGATGATTTTTTTTTTTACGATTTGAAATGTAGATCAAATTATTTAAATTGTTAGATTTTCTGTGGTATCGTGTTGCTATTAGATAGAGAGTAAGTCTATGACTCACGAATGCTATCTGTGGATTCTTTTTTGTTTTAACAAGTGACATACTTTTTTGGAAAGCACTTCACAAATACTTCTACTTAGTGAATTATATTTTTAAAATAACAACTTGTAATTCTTTTTTCCTTTTAGTTTCCTGCCTGTGATGGTTCCCATAATAAGCATAATGAATTGACAGGAGATAATGTTGGTCCACTCATACTGAAGAAGAAAGAAGTATAACAGTAATGTCTTAGGATTGATCCAGTATGTGCTGTAACATCTTAAAATATTTCTCATTCTTTGTGTATAGAAAATCTTTTGAAATGGTGGTCTTAATTATTACTCCTAGTTGAATAATTATTTCTGCCAATTTATTTTCTTGCTATATTGCTGCTTATATTTGATACTTTTATAGTCAGGCATTTTTAGAGAAATTGTGGAGCTTTCTGATTTCAGAGAGTCAGTGTATCTTTCACCAATAAAATCAATATTTTCTTTTTAGTTGATTGGGAATCTAAATTTTGGCAATGGGGCCAAAACGATACCTTTGAATATTCAATAGAACATACACTTCACAAATACTTTTCATACTGGTTTTGTTTTGACCATTTGCAGTGGTTTGTACTTCCACACTTCATTCTCCTTCAGGTGAATTAAGAAAAATTTGCCATCAACAATTACTGAGGATGGGAAGTGGCGCTGTAGCTCAAGTGGTAGAGCGCTCACCTTGAGCTAAAGAGCTGAGGGACAGTGCTCAGGCCCAGAGTTCAAGCCCCATAACCGGCAAAAAAAAAAAAAAAAGGAATCAAGAACTATTGAGGTCAGAGGAAATTTGTGTTCTAAAGATTCTTGTTTCAATAATATAAATGTCTCAATTTCAGAAAAAGTAAACTGGATATAAAAAGTTCTAACAGTCACATTGTTCCAGCACTGTAACAGATTTGTTTACTAGAAAAGGTGTAGGTATATGTGTGTCTTTGTGACTGTGTGTCTTTGTGTGTGTTTGTGTGTCTTGAACTCTTTGGCTCAATGACAGCCTGGGTACTAAGAACTTTCAAAGCTAAACTTATGGGCTGCTGCAATCTGAAGGCCAATTGGAAATAAAACATCTGAACTCAGATTAAAATAAATAGTTTAGTGCTAAAAATGTTTTTTCTCTTTTTAATAAAATGTAAAATAAGTTTATTGGAGAATTTTTACAACGTTTGTAATTTTTAGTTTACAATTGAGTCTTTCCTGTTGTACTTTACACTAAAATTCTCATTAATAGTTATCCTGAAGTGTGTCTACTAAGGGTACAACCCCCTCTGTTCACTGTGTTTTCTCTATGCATGAAGAAGATCCAGAAGGCAAACAATTATAAAGCTTCCAAAAATAAAATATGCAGAAATGCTCAATAATAATGGGGCATCAGAAACTACCCCAAACATGGTACTTGGATTTGGAATGTATTACATGTAATGTTAACAGATTTCAATGTGTGATGTTAGCTTTCTCATGACTAATGACAAGAACTTCAAAGCTATCGGCAAAAATGTAGCCTGTTTTCTGACAGTTTTTACAAGGTGTGTGTCTAAAATTGTTGCTGTTCTTCCCCTCTGCAAGTAGAGGAGAAATGTAACATTGCTTTCAGTTCTGTGACTCTGGGTATGTTTTGTGAGCTTTGATTGAACACCCTCCAGGAGTGTGGCTATGAGGTTAGCCACTCATTTTTCTTTTGGGCGTAAGTCTTTCTGGAAGTCATTGCCCAAAGTGGATATTCTTTTTATAAAACATCTGAGCCCACTGCAACATACTCTGACATATGTTCTAGTGGTTTGCAAATGTAGGTTTCACAGTAGGTAAATTGACTAAAATGTGTAGTCTCATGTGAAATTGTCAACTTTAGATTTAGTCAAATATGAGCACTTAAAAGTGGACAATTTTCATAAAAAGTAATTTTAGAAAGTAAAATGGCTTTTTTATTATGCTCTCTGAATAGTTTTCCCCCCACATTGTTAAAATACATTAAAGAACTATTCTAAATATTTTTCTACCTAATGAAGCAAGCTGTCATTTTATGAACTCCTTTATGTGAGCATCATCGGTTACCATAGCTTGAAATTTACAGAATTCTATCGTCTATCATATGTGCCGTAAAATATAAACATCAAGTAACCAAATTCATCTTAAGAAATACATGTCTGAGCCAGGTGCCAGTGGCTCACACCTGTAATCCTTGCTACTCAGGAGGCTGAGATTTGAGGATCACGGTTCTAAGCCAGCTGGGGCAGGAAAGTCTGTGAGACTCTTATCTCCAATAAACTACTCAGAAAAAGCCTGAAGTGGCACTGTGGCTCAAGCGCTAGCCTTGAGCAAAGAGAGGCTCAGTCAGGAACAACGCCCAGCCCCAAGATGGAAGGGGATAAAAAAAGAAATACATGTCTGAGGTTTCTAGAATATTTGAGAAACAACCTTAGGGAAACAATGCTGATCATTTGGAGAACTGCCTCTCCTGCTTAACTAGGGAACTACTCATGCCTTACTCAGCAGATGAGCAACCACCACTACGTAAATATCAGGTGTCCAAAGTGTTAGTAAGTTTGCGATATTAATGATTCATTTGTGTGGATAATTAAGCAAGTTGTGTTATGAAAAGCACATTACAATGCAGCTTTGAGTTTGGTGCTCCATATGATGATTCACTGAAGGATGTTTGTTTGTATGTCGTAACTTAATTTGTTAATAAGTTCTGGGGAGCCAGCTAAGCCAGCTGCTGATATATAGAATTCTTCCCCACTGAACTCGGTCTTCTTTTGGAAATGTGCTGTACAAGAATTTGTAAACTCTGCTGGCTTAACAGGGTTCTTAAGAAATTAAAGTGGATATTTTGCTTGAAACCTCCCAGACTGTCTAACTAATTGCACTTGTTTAGAATTCATGGGGGCAGCATCACCTCTGAAGCCCAGGGGCCATGTTAGTAATGCTCATACTGAATTTCTGAGTGACTGATCAAGTCGTCAGAGTCCCTTATTCTTTCTTCACACCCACTTCTAAAAAGACTGGCTATCTGATTTCTGTTCCTGAACAGGATTCTGCTAGAGGTGGGTAAACAATACACTATAGCCTGTAGTCAGGAGAGATCACCAAAAATGAACTAAACATTAAAAGCATAGCTGCTTTGGTGTATGGCCCTCATCACTGGTCCCTGGGATTAAATACCAGCGGTGTTCGTTCAGTGATGAATCTGAATCAAAATAAGTAGCACGAGATATTTGAGAAGGCAGGACATGACTGGGCACTGGTGACTCAGACCTGTAATCCTAGCTCCTCAGGAGGTTGAGATCTGAGGATTGCAGTTAGCAATCTTGGGCACACAAGTCAGAGTGAATCTGTTAACCAGAAAAAAGTACAGGACTGGAGATACAACTCAAGTAGTAAAATGCCAGCCATGAGAGAAAAACCTGAGTGAGAGCTCAAGGCCCTCTGCCAGCATAAAAGAGAAAAAACCAGGGCAGGATATATGTTTCATGTAGTTATACCAATGTGTGGAGTTGAAAGTTCAGTGCTTTACGAGGTATGTCCATGGAAAAAGTGGGCCCAATATACTTGACTCATTCCTTGGTAAGGGGAAGATTTATCATAGGGACTTTTCCTATTCAGTTGAACCACTTTTCAAGTTTAATGACTTAACTACATAATTTGTTGGAAAACTGAATAAAGCAGGAGTGATTTAAACCACATCAATTGGACTCACTGATCTGCACGTTAGGGAAATGAAAACCATGTGAGCAGTGTTTCTGTGACAGCGTCAGCCTTTTTTCCCATGCAGTTTGGGTATAGAAGCACCTAGAGCTTTCTCCATTGTTCCATCAGTATTAAGTTTTGAACCCAAGGCCTTGAGCCTTGTGTTCTGCTGCTGAGCTTGGTGAAATAGCACTTGCTAACTTGATCTGGGTTGGCTTGAAACCTGAAATCTCCCTGCCTCCACCTCCAGATTAGCTGTGATTATATACTTGCACTACCACACCCAGCCACTGTTTTTTTGTTTTGTTTTGTTTTGAACCTTGCTTCATCTGAAAACGCTCTTTTTTCCCCCCATAATGATTGTACTTGCTTATATTCCTCACCAGTAGTCTATAAGAATACCCCTTTCAAGGAGGAGGCTACCATGCTTGATAAGAAATGTACTCACTATCTTGCCCATGTAATTGTAACCCCTCTGTACAGTATTTTCACAATAAAAAAAAAAAAGAATATTCCTTTCTCTGCATCCTCACTAGCATTTACCCTCTCTGTCTTTTTGATTCTAGCCTTCTGGCTGAGAAGAGATGGTATCATATGATGGCTTTAATTTGCTAGAGGTTCAGAAAGTCTTGCTCTCCTCAACTTCACTCTAGTAGATCTGGCCTCCTGTTGTGAAGGCCTTCCTGGGACACTTGCCTTTCCCACAGGCTTGTTTGCACTACTGCCACCTCGTGGCCATCTTTTTTTTTGCTCCTCACAGACCTATTTATGCATAGTGCTAGTACTACATAATACTACTAGTAAGATTATAGTAAATATATGTAGGAAGATGTGCCAGTTCTAAAATTGTAGATAAATAATAATATATGTTCAATTTAAAGAAGTCACAAATACATAGGAAAGTAATCAAATTTACAAATATAGCAAGAGTTTTTTTTAGCACATTCTAGAAAAATTAAATGGACATAAAATTATTAAGGCTCTCTAGATGGTACAAACTCTTCAATCAATAGTTGAATGCCTATGCTTTCTGGACATGATAGCACACATCTATATTTTTAACATTTGGGAGCCAGCATGGGCTATATAACAAGATTCTATTAAAAAAAAAAAAGTTGGGCACTGGTAGTTCACATCTGTAATCCTAGCTACTCAGGAGGCTGAGATTTAAGGATCACAGTTCAAAGCCAGCCTGAATAGTCCATGAGCTTCTTATCGCCAATAAACTTCCCAGAAAAAGCTGGAAGTGGCACTGTGGCTCAAGTGATAGAGTGCTAGCCTTGAGCACAGAGAGGCTCAGGGATAATGTCCAAACCCTGAGTTCAAGCCCAGGACTGTCAGGGGAAAATAAAAAAATCAAGGCATGCTGATACACCTGTTATCCTGGCTACTGTAAGGGCAGAGATAGAATTGAAGTTAGATTTTTGTCTCTCAATCTCTCTCTCTCTCAATCTTCAGTAAATGCCCTATCACTCTAGTGAGACACAGCTCCACTTGCTGCCTTTCACCACCGCGCCCCCCCCCCACACTTTGGTAGTTTATATTAGAGATAAGAGTCTCATAAAGCCCAGGCTGGCTTTGACCTGTGAACCTCAGGGCTCAGCCTCCTGAGTGGCTAGGATTATAAGCATGAACTACTGGCACCTAGCCAAGGGTTTGTTACTTCTTTTTTGTCTGAGATGGGGACTTGAACTTGGTATCTGACAAATGTTTTCATTCATTGGCTGGCATTCTACCATCTGAATCACACCTCACAACTCTGCAAGACCTCATCTTAACCATTGAGTGCAATGGCATCCCAGCAATGCGGAAGGCCTGAAATAGGATCTTGGTCTAGAATGGTTGGGCAAAAACATAAAATTCTATTAATAACAAAAGCAAAAAGGATGTAACTTTTTGCTACAACTGTGGATGTAACTCAAGTAGTAGTGTTTTCCTAGTAAGCAAAACCTTGAGTTCAAAACCTCAATATTACAAAAAAAAATTCATTCCACACACATTTGAAGTAGCTATAAAAATTGATGTGA